TTTTACTTGCCCAAAACTTAGGTTTAGGTCAATGGATAATTATTTGTTCCTGGTTAGGTCCATGACCATTAAGCAGATGCACAATATATATATATATATATGCAATAGACAATGCAACAGTAGTTCATAGAAGGCTCTAAACCAATACAGCAACACTTTACATGGCAATGAAAATAGAAGAGACACCATACTTCACATATAAACTGATTATTACAACTTATTTTTAATGTAGGTTTATAGCCCTCTAGATCTTTGTTTAGTCTTAATACTCACAAAGGCTATTAGAGAGTTCACAGGTTCCTATTTTTTTTTTAAATGATCACCTTGAATTTTTCTGTGACACATGGTTTAAAACACACAGTATGAATATGTCGTATGGGTCGTCTTCCTACTCACCCAGGTGGCATCCCAGGCATAACTGGAGGCATTCCAGGCATCATAGGTGGAACACCTGCCATTAATGGTGGTATACCTATTAAACACATTTAAAAAAACTTAAATGATATTTGCCAAGTAGCATATTTTCAGACATTTATAATAAATGATATAAATGATTTAAAAAAAGCTCTAAAACCTTATTTTCTTAATTTAATCTCTATATGAAATACAAAAGCTTACAAGCAAGTCTGGCTTAGATCCACTGTCTCCTCACCAGCCTTACTAGCATATTGACATTGCTCCCATCTAGAGGCAAGCATTAGGTAATTTTCTTCACAAGTGAGGATGTGCACGTATATGTGGTATGTGTGTAGAACAGCCAGATGCACCTGAAAACTATTTTGCAACCATTAGCACTTGAGTGTCAGAAGGGATGCTCCAGCATATATGTAGTGGTCTGCAAGTCTACTGAACATTTTAATAAAAAATAACTCAAAACACCATGTTACCTGGAGGCATTCCTGGGGCACCTGGTACAGGAGGCAAACCTGGTTGTGCCATTGGGGGAATGTACCCCTGCTGAGGCTGAACCTGTTGTGGTTGAAATGAAGTTGAAGCTGCAGAGTCATCATCTTCATACTCATCAGAATCATCCTGTTGTTTCTTTTTCTGGCTTTCTGCTGAATAGTATGACATATACGATCAGACTGAAGGTAGAGCATATGCTGTAAAATACCATTTTTCTTTCCAAGTAACTGGCAAAAGTCTAGAGATCTGCAGGTACAGAATGCATTAACCCAAGTACTACTCTTCTGAGGAGTCAGACCTTTATCACACAGGCCAATTCTTAGCATCAGTACGAAAGACTATGATCACACAGGGCCAACACTTAACCAATTTTCATCAAACAGAAAAGTTATATTAGTACACACACGCATATATATATATATATATACACACACATATAGAGACACTTGATCTATATGATTGAGGCAAATACACCCTATTGTGTGATTAATAACTAATATTAAACTTGAACAGCCAACTCAAAAACAACCAAAGAAAAAAAACAACCACCACCAACCACAACACATACACCCACCAAAGTAAATCTAATTTATTAAACAGATTATGATAATGACAGATACCCAACTAGATTTCAATTTACCCTGAGTTTTTTGTTCAAGTAACCTTCTCCTTTCCTCCATATCTTTTTCTGGAATGCCCTCCATGCCATAGATTTCCAGTTCAATGTCTGTTCTTCCAGGAATAGCATTCGGAACAGCATCTATTGTTTCTTTATGTACCTAAAGAAGTTTTTTTTTTTTTTTTTTTTAAAAAAAAAAAAAGGGAAGAGAAGAAAATAAAAGTAGCTTTCAACCCATTTACATTCAAGATGGAAATAATCACCTAGAAATATTCTTCCTGTTAATGATGTTCCTATTGAGGTGTGTTTTCTAGTCACTGTTAACTACTATTTGCTTCTAAAACCAGCTGCTAAACTTGTAATCTGAACACCAAGGCAGCTCATAATTTCCTCATTCCTCCCCTCCCCCGAGTGGCCTAAAGATCTTTACTGCATATACTCTGTGAACATAGTAGAGCACTCCTGTTGTGGAAGCAGATGACTTCTGTTTCTAGCATATTTTCAAGGTTACAGAAACCTCCCCAAAAATCTTTAAATTTCCTAATATTTGTAATCTTACATAATGACCAGAAAACTTTAATGCATGTTTAAAACATACCTGCATGCAATGTATAGCTAAACCAGGTCCTGTATACAATTTCTTATGACATATATGGCATTTAAAGTGCTTTGCTTTTTGATGCTGTATAAGGATTTTTTCATCATCAAAATCCCTGTTGCAATACCTATTGAAGACTGTTAAGGAAATATTTAACACAGAAAGCAAGCATTTACAACACTACAGTAATAAGCGACTTCTTCTAAAGCAAGGAAAGCACCGAAAATGTCTCTAAGCACCAAAATCACAAGTAGTTCATGGATGTCTGAAACCAAGCCTCGCATTTTCATATCACCCAGCACTTCTCTCTCCAAACAGTTACGTAACTACAAAACTGGGAAGAGATAGGTATGCAATAAGATTAAGATATTAAAGGAAAAAATACATTGAATAACATGGAAGTGAAGCTAAATACTTGTTATTAAATAGTCATGCTTATAAATATCTGTAGTTAAGATCCATAAAGAAAAAAGTTAAAAATGCCCTTCCTTTTTCAGTCCCCCAGATATATCAATTTTTAGGGCACTACATAAATAGCCACAACATTTTCTGCTTTTTAATAAGTGAATGAGGTTTCCTATCCATATGGCTTAAGAGGCAAACTGCAGTTTCCCTTCTGCAGTTCAGCGTTGATCTCTCCGTGCAACATCCCAGACATCTTGCTTAGCAACGCAGAGGCACATTTGGTGTTAGCTGTTACTGCTACAATATCCTTCTCACTTCCAGCAAAACTTAAAATTTATTAATACCAAAACAGAAGTACAGATGCCTTCAAAAATTACTAAAAAAATAAAAAGGAAAGCTGCTCCATGATCTTCTGCCGCCATTTTTAGTGATTTCATACCACGATAAGTATCTCAGAGAGTCAGAGAGAGAAAACTTAAGTCTATATTATCCCCATGCAAAGAGGCTTACAAACAGATCACTGAAGAAAAAAAAAACATATCTCTCAATTAAAAAAAAAAAATCAACTCTCACACAGCAAATGCAAATATAAGAGCCTGGAAAAGAGATTTTCAATAGGCTTTTCTGTAGCCAGACTACCCCAGTTCTCCTTGAATACCAGCTTCATTAGATTTATGATTTTTTTTTCCCCTCCTACTACCATCATTCTCCTCCGGGGATAGGGATTGCTCTGGTTCCCCCAGGGTCCCAGTAACGCAAAGAGGGGCCAAGGGCGGCGGTTGGGGCAGCCCGGCCCAGGCCTCAGGCGAGGCGGGCGCGGACGGACTAGGCCGCACGGCGGGGAGGGCGGTTAGGAGCACAGAGGAAGGGCACGGACGACGCTCCATCGCCGCTCTGAGGAGCACGGAAAACGAAACAGGGCCGATCCAGGGACTAGATGATAACGGGACAAAGAAAAGTAAAGCGCCGCACCTCAAGGCGCCGAGGAGAGGAAGGACGGGACCGCGCCGCTCCCCTCCCCCCCGCCAGCTCCCACACCCGCCTGCCGCACACTGAAGGAT